AAAAAAAAAAAAAAAAAAAAAAAAAAAAAAAAAAAAAAAAAAAAAGCATGTATTTGCAAGGAAGACACTGGTTTACAGCTGTAGGAAGATTAAAGTAGGGAAGCTTAATTTCAGGAGTATTGAGAGCTTTAGGATATTCTGCCGCTCGCTTCATGATGCTTTTTGACTATTTTTCTTAATGAAAATGCCCATGGTGCCTGGAGAGGCAAGCTGAGGAGCCTGGCTCTATTTACAGACATTTACTACTGACTACATCAGCTCTGGTTCATATCACCTAGTGAAGACAGCCCCTGAGACTCGCTTCAGTGAATCGGAGCCATTCCTCAGGAAAGGGCGGGGATGTGTACCGGCCGATCGTGCTGTTCTTGTGTGTCAAGCCTGCCAGGCCTCCCGAGACCGGCATGTACCTTGGTTCCCTCCAGCACAGTTGGCATGTCCGTACAGCCCATCCCCGCAGTCTAGAGTTTAAATAAAGAACACTGAGCAAGAAAGGAACATACAACGGGGGAACACATGTAACGAGGAAGACATGCTTATCTTCAGCGCCTTCGCGTACCTTGCCGGATGCCTCCCTTGCCTTTCTCAGAGCTAGATCCATGTGTCCAACCCATACTGAAGCTGGGCGGTGGTGGTGCACGCCTTTAATCCTAGTATTTGGGAGATAGCAGCAGGCAGATCTCTGAGTTCAAGGCCAACCTGTTCCACAGAACTAGTTCTAAGACAACCAGGGTTACACAGAGAAATCCCGTCTCGAAAAACAAAAACAACAACAAAAACCAAATGAAGAAACAAAACAAAAACAAAAAACCCACACTGAATCTTTATATGAGAATTGCCTCAAAGCCAACCCAACATTCAGAAGAAAATCTGAAATTATCCTTTTTTTTGAAGGCAAAGGTCTGCCTTCAGCATGACATTTTTTGTGACATTTTCCTCAATGAATGATCCTCTGATCTGTCTTTTTATTTATTTTTTCTTGTTTCCTTTCTACAAGAATAAATCCAACCTGATGGTCTCAAAAATCTAGTCTCTCAAAGCATGGTATGGTAAATCTAACATTTATTTCTTGGGTTGGCACATCTAGCAGCAGGAGATTTATCCTGTTAGCCAAGCTATGATAGCTGTGATTTAGGTCTTGTCTATACCACTGTGACTTATTGCCACGACTCCTGTGTTATAATGTGGTTCAGCGTCAGCACATACGGTGTGCAAGTGAGTGATCTGCCGGGCTCCGTGGACAGGCATTTGTACTGAAGTTGTCTCGTTCATTATTTAACACAAGTCCCTCAGAATTCTCGGAGAAAAGTATTGTGGCCAAATATGCTTGACTAACAACTGCTTAGCAAGTCATCATTTTGCAGACTCAGAATGCTGAGTACCTCATCACTGACTCTGAGAAGATGTAGGAAGATTAGTTGAACTCTATATAACCCACTATTTCTCCAACCTGGTGAATGATGGAACCCTTTCCTTACCTGATCACATCCCGAAGAAGTCGCTTTTAGTAGAACATTCTGGATGATGGTTTATTTTAACGTCCCCAGCCTAACTATGGAGGCGTTATCAGTCTTGTTTTATAGATGAGAACAGACCCGTCTCTGCTGTGGGACGGTCTGTATGTCAAATTGCTCTGATTGGTCAATAAATAAAACACTGATTGGCCAGTGGCCAGGCAGGAAGTAGGTGGGACAAGGAGAGAGGAGAATTCC